TCAAGATAATTGACAGTAATAAACTATTAATAATAACTCTGATTAACTTAGAGATAATATGTCAAGCTACTAAGAAAGCATAATATTGTTTCTTAAATCTAACTTAGAATACCTATTTTAGATTTAGTTTTGTTTAGTCTGAACTAGCTTAGTGTACTTTTTATATTTTTTAAGTGGTGTAGTCCAAGTTAAAAAAAAAAAATCTTGTTATAAAAAATAATATATAATAATATATAATATTATATTATTAAAGTATTGTTATTATAATATAAAACCACCTAATTGAAATACTTCAATGGAATCAACAGCCCAAAGAAACATTGGTTTTTTACTCTAATGGGTCTTTTATCGACCATGGATATGAAAAAATGAATATGGAAGTAGCATGAATACAAGTAGAAAGAGAGGGTAAAGAAATTAAGTTTCAAATAGAAGTAGGTGGCTAATCATTATTCACTAAAGTCAAGCTAGTAGTAATAGTCACAATATTACTAGTTGTTCCAATAAACAATAAGGTCAAGATTTTTATAGACAGCCAAGCCTGTATTGGCAAGTAAAAAATAATAGAGAAAGAGGATCACAAAAAAACTCACAAAAGATGATTAAAGAAAAAAAACTGGTCCCTGTGAACAAGAATGTTGAATATTGTTAAAAAAAAAAGAATTGAATTTAGAACTGGTCAAGGTCAAAGTATACTTTAATGACTCTTATAATAAAGAAATAGATACTCTAGTAAAAGAAACCTTAATACTCCCTATGATGAATGGAAGAATCTTACTTTATTTAAAATTATTATTAAAATCAAATAGCATAAAATAACTTTAGATAATCCCATAAGACAGTTTATTAAAAATATAAATAACAACTCATTAATGGATTAAACAAAACAGGATTTTGAACAAATAAATCAATAGATTCAAGATCAATATGACTATATATGGAATTTAATATGGGAAAAAATGAAGAATGAACACACTTGGAACACCCCTTTAAAGATTCTCAAAAAAGAAGCTTCTTTATCAAATTTATCAATGAAGAGTTACCAATGCTTTCCAAATTGGCCATAAGAAGACCAGATCTATATAAACAAGTAGAGTATATAGCATGCAAACAACAAGCAGAAACAATAGAACACTTACTAAAATGTCCAATATATAAAACCCAATGACAGAAAATTTGAAACAAAGGAACTGAAAGCATTCTAAAAGACTTTTGAAAACTTCTCATGAGAGAAGAAAAGAGATAGAAGAGAAAAAAATAAGACTTCTAGTTAAAGATAGAGTAGAATTAGGAGAATTGGACAAATACATAGCCAGACTTATAAAAAAGACTGCAGAAACAGACCAGAACACTTTAAACTTCTATATAGGATTAATACAAAGTGATCAGATATTGAAAATGTCAAATCTAAGATGTTTCCAGAAAAGAATAGGTAAAGAAGCACAAAAGTAAATAGTGAAGATGCAGAAGAAGATTTGAAATTAATTCCAAAAAAAGATTTGGAATAAAAGATACTTAAGAATGATCAAGTGGGAATAAGTACAAGGGATTCATAAAGAAGACAAAATAAGAAGATCTACCAATCCATTAAACCAGAACAATAAGATTACAACTATGAAAAGGTCTGTATTGGAAGAAAAAAAACTTGAAGATGAAGATCTGAAATAAACCTTTCTAGAAGGAGTAAAGTATAGAATAAGATAGTTAGGGTTTTAACTTCTGTCAGAACTTATAAGGAGAATTTGTAGTGGTGATTTGTAAGCAATGAAATTGATAGTTGGAAGGGTTTTTATCTGAGCTACTAATGGAGTGATAAATCACTTCCAAAGTTGCACTTAGAGTAGTAATAACCAAGATGAGTGAGCTAATTAGAAATTTAGCTTTAGTGATTCATTTTACATATATAATATACTAATATTTAATAAAGCATATATAATTAGCCTGACAAGATAAAAAAAAAAGTATTGTTATTATAATATACAATATATATAATTACTTTCAAAAATTTAAATACACTTATTATTAATTTCAACTTTAATAATTTTTAAATCTTTAATTATATAATCAAAAAAATTTTTTTTTTTTTTTTTTTTTTTTAACCTGCAATCATATCATGATGGCTTGTCTTTATTGAAAAATTAAAGTAAATCTATAATAATTTATGATTTTCACAAAGTAACTAACTCATTTTCATATAGTATATAAGTACTCTAAGTCGGATTTTGAAAACAATATTATATTTCCCTAATAAATTATATTAATCTCTATCTACCAGGATCATTGCCAACAGTTTGTCACTATTGATTGCCTGAAAACTAATAAATTGCTAAATTAAAAAGGGAAAAATAATTGGAAAAAAGAGATAATTCAAAGCCTATCAAAAAAATCTAAAAATAAAAACAATCTTTTTTCAAAAAAAATCTGTCTAATTGAAATAGTTTTCTTGTTTTACTTGAATTTCAGAAGAAATCTTCTTTTTCACTACCTGCAGCATCAGACAAGTCAATCCACTGGTCTTTTATTTAAGTGAGCATCAGATTGGAATATCTCAAGAAAAGCATTTAGATCTTAGTTTTTTTTCATTAAAGTTTTGTTACTTGTTAGTCAATTATCTTTAATAAGAACTTGTATTACTCAAAATTTAAGATTAAACTGAAGAAGACAAAATTCCTCAGAATATTGTGAATATAAAAGTTCTAAGAGGATCAAGACAGTCAAAAAGAGAAAAAATAAATCTTTTTATTGCAAAAAACCTTTGTAAACCTCTTGCTTCAAAGGTCAGATAAGTCTTCAGATACTTTACAGTTAGTTCTTCTTTCTTTGTAAACTTTTTTACCATTGGTATCAAAGGTATTACTTGACTTTTTTTGATTACTAGAAATCAAGTTTTTGAATGAAAAGGTTTATAAACAAAAGAAAAAAGGTAGAAATAATTCTTTAAGTTATATTTTATATTGTTTTAAGTGAAATATTACAACTTTATTAGTAAAGAAGTATAAAAACTTCTTGCGAACATCTTTTTGTGTGTAATTAGAGAATCAATAGAAAAAGTTTTGATATATATTATACTTATAATTTATATCTAATTTTTTTTTTTTTTTTTTTTTTTTTTTTAGAAATAACAAAGTTCAGTCGTACAAGAAATACATACCTGTACAGGGAGTTTCAGCTATATATAACTCACCCCTGATTATATATATCTTGGAGAATATATACAAGAACTTGATATCTATTACTAGTGCCTTGATGTGAACTCACTTTCAGATTATTAGCCTATCAATGTGACTTGTTGCCAGAAGAAGCCCAACTACCTAACTTCCTATGTCTATATTACATTTCTTAGCTTAGGATTATAATATAGGACCCTTTTTATATCTCATCTTGTCGGATGTTCTTTTTATAGTACTTATTACAGTATGCCTACAGAATACTTACATAAAGTCTTAGATGTCATCTCGTCATGCCAATGATCCTTTTTACATAATTTATTATAGCCTGCTTATGGGGTGACCACATGGAGTCTTGAACAGATGTCGATTTCTTAGTAGAAACACTCTTCTAATTAATGTACTTAAGCTCCACTAGTTTTCAATTTTTGCAATGTACAGATCTTCAGCCTATCTGCAGAAGCTTATTAGAACCTATCTTATGATGAGATGACTTTAGTACTAAAACTGACTGGAGTATCTTGTAATCTTTTTGGTTATTCTGTAATCGGATGAGATTTTGACCAGAAGTGGCAGTGATTATCATCATAGAACAGATGCGATCTTCCTATATCACCTAGACTTAGTTAGTACTGCCTCGCAGTAGTATTGAACTCGGAGGCAATGTATGGTAACCTGAAAGCACTACTACTATGCTATTAACTCACAGGTCTATTTATATATATTATATATTTATACTTATTTTATTTTAAATATTTTTTTAAAAAATTTTTAAAGATTTATTGTTATTAAATATATTTATTTTTTATTAATTATTATAATTTATAATAATAATCAATCAAAATCATTCAAAAATAAAAATTTTATAAAAAAAGAAATTTTTTAACAATAATAAAACTTTAAAAAATTACATATAAAAATTTTTTAAAAAAATATAATAAATAAAATTGATATCAAGATATACTATATATAAATATTATTATTTTTGATTTTATAATTAAGGATTTAAAAATTGATAAAGTTAAAATTTATAATAAAAACATAGTAAGTAAACTTAAACTTTTGAAAGTAATTGTATTTCTTTACTATATAATCAATAAAGCTTGAATGTTTCTTTGAATTTTATAAATATTTGAATTTAAATTGATTTATTGACTTAAGTTATTAACTGTAAAGCTTTTTATAATATCTAAAAAGGTGTTAACCTGAACTGGCCTAATTAAAAGCTTTGCAAAATTGATATTGAGTTTTTAAAAACTTTATTTTTTAAAAAAAAATTTTATATAATAGAAGTTAATAAATTTTTATAAATCTTACCTTTTTATATATCTTGTTTAAGTATTATTGTATTTGTTTTTGTGAATTGATGATTGTGAAAATAGATTTCTTCTTGTTTTTCTGGTTAGCTTCTCTTTTTTTCAAAAAAATGTTGAAAAAGAAAATAATATAAATCAATAAGAAGAGTTTGTTTAACTTAGTAAATCTCTTATTGAAAGAAATTATAATGATAAAAAATTAATTATCGATATATTTATTATAATATATTTTAACAGATAATCAAATAATGACAAAATATTAATAATTCTTTAAATCTGAAATCAAGATGAAAACTAAAGAAAAGTACAATGAGTTAATAATCATATGAATTGTCAATATAATATTTTTTGCATTATTACTTCAATAAAGACCACCATGACATGATTGTAGATTAAAAAATAATTTTTTTATACATACTGCATATTCTCAATAATAATTAATAAACATATCATTAATCTAACGTAAATATAAATATTACTAAAAAAAATTTTTTTTTATTAGATAAACACGGAGAATTTACAAAATAATCTTGTATTTTTCTTCACTTGGTACTCTGTTAATAACAGCTCTTCCGTCATAGGATAAAGAGCAGAAAACCCAAGGGTCAGAAGCGCTCCAGGCGACAGAATAAACGCTATCTTCGTGTTGATCATAAGTTCTCACCAAACCGTCTGTTGGCTTCCTATTGGCAAATCTGAATGTGTCAACAAATTGAAATACTAGATATAACAAAAGAGAAAAAAAAAAGGGAAAATAGGGTAGAAAGCACACCCTGTTATATCTTGATATTCATCTTCGGATTCGTCATCCTCATATTGAAATGCAGCCGAAGAAATAGAAACAATGCTTTGAAGGTTCACTTGACAATCAGAACCAGAGCTTAAAAAAAGCTGATCATGAAATCGATTGTAAGCAATAGCCCAAACCCTAAAGAGACGTCATTTAATATGTAAATGACTGAACAAAATTAAAAACCAGGAGAATCAGGGAACGAAAGAATGGAATTCAAAAGCATACCAGTGTGTATGATCAGATATCTCTTTAAGACTCTCGGCTGTATTCCTAAGGTCCCAGAATCTTACTTTGCAATCATCACCTGCTGACGCGATTTGGTATGGTTTGTTCGGATTGTAATCCAAAGCGCGAACAAGAATAGAATGTGCTCCCTCAATACTGAAACTCATGCTATGTAATTTCGAAAGATTTTCATTTATTGGCAATGTCGCATGACCAATCACATAAAGATATGACACATTTTCTCACCATTGTGATCTAAGATCCCAACCTTGAATTGAGCATTCCTTGCAAATTGCAATTTCTGGGCGATTTGGATTCCAGACTCCAGTCGTCAGTGGAGACAAATTTTCACTTGAAGATGGAAAGTCAATTGTATTGGATACCTAAATATAATATTCATGCACAATTTAATATTCGAGCCATTTGTGGAAGTTCTCTGTTAACATACCTTTGCAGATATCAATTGATCCTCGAAAGCCCAGACGCGAAAGGAAGAATCATGAATCGATACAAACTTGGTCAGTTCCTTTGAGGGATCCCACAAGACCCTGAAAAAAAAAAGAATATACACCTTTAATACTATTGCTTTGAAACTTAATAGATAAACTTATTACAAACTTTTTTATATTTGAATCCGTTTCAATCTTAAAAACATTTTCCAGGGGTAAGTGAGGCGCGACTGATGTTCTTGGAAGCTGACCAAGGTCTGTCACATTTGACTCTGGGTTACCCATTCGCCATAATTTGGCTTTGGTTTGTAATGAATTAGACTCAACTATAACCAAAAAATACAAACACGACTTTGAGTTTGATATTATAGTACAAAATGCATGGAATTTATATAGAAATATGATATTAACATGTTTTATAACATGTAAAAAAAAGTTCACTTTTTGCGGGACAAGCAGCAATGTCCCATACCTCTTCCACGTGCTGATATACTGTACAAGTAATTTCAAACTCATCTTCGTGGAAGTTAATCAAATGGATCTAACTATTTCCGTAAAACTCTAGTATTATATCAATTATGTTAACGTAAAGAAAATTCAGAGAACGATAAGAACCTCATTGTTCCGTTTGAGCGCTTGAGTGCCTACAAGAAACTTATTTTGCTCTGTATCAGCGACAACCGCTGTAAGACACCTTGCCTGTAATTTCCCGACGTCACTTAAAAAAGGAATATGGAAAAAAAGTCTAGCGCATAGCAAGGAGCTAAATTACTTGGTGTCGTAAGCCATAAACACATGATCTTCCTTCGTTGTCCATGAAAAGATAAGTAAGGAAAAGCACGATCCATGAATTAAAAGTGGTCGCATATATGCGCTGGCCAATCAAAATATACGAAAAGAAATTGAAAGTCAAATATTACTATATTTTAAACAAATTTGGAAGATTTTTTTTTATAAAGTACATAAAGAGAAATACTCAGGAATAATAAAACTAACAATATGACCATTGGAACCAACCTTGGGTATATTGCTGTCTTTCTGAAAAGAAAAAACTAGTAAAGGACCATTAGTACTAATAAAAATTTTTTAAAAAGAAAAACTATAAAATTGAAAGTAATGGTTAATTTATATTATTTCTTACTATTCAGCTTATATAAGGGAAAGAAAATTTATTCAGAGTATTTACTAAATCCACTTATTCATATATAACAGTGAAAACATTAGTGCATAATTTGATTATGTTTCAAATCTCTCAATTATATTTATACAATATAAATTATATTTTAGATATCTCGAATCTCTTGAAAAATATATAAATCTTAGTCATTGCTTTTGTAACCAACTTGTGCTTCCTTGTAGAAATTCTCAAAATATCAATATAGATCATATATACTAATCTTTAATAAGAAAATGAAAATCTTTAAGATAGATTATTAAGTCACTTTCTCAAGAAATTTGTAAAAAAAAAAAGAGATTTAATCTTATTAATATAAAAAAGATTTTTTTTTTTTTTTAAACATGCTAGCTCATTCCTGTACCAGCTTTGAAACCTTTATTAATTATTAAGATAGATCCTAGAAACAATCAGAATGAGTAATTACCTATACTGTCTAAGGATTTATAAATCAACAAATAGTATAAGGGGCATCTATTTATGTCTTACCCAATAAGGATAAGGAACTATGTGTCTGTCTAGTGTAGAATTTTTTCTTAATTCTTAACAAAGTCAGAGATACCAGAGATGTTTTAATTTATCAATTTAATGGAAAACTATTTAATTTTAAACTATGTTTGTATAACCTTATCCAACCGAAATAACACTTTTTAAAACCATAGTTCACAGGATAACTTATTGCTATCCCTGTGAAGGAAGGCTAATATGTCAAGAACTTGTCTAAGATGCCTAGCACCACCAGTATCAGGGTCTCATATATAGGATCTTTATGACTTCTATTAGTATGTACATTTTTTTGTAAGACTTGTCTTGTTTTTGTTATTATCTGTTCTTTGTAGCAACACATATTTGCCTCTTTTGGAGAACCTGTCTTGTGTTTTCTTAAACACTGAAACACCTTGCTGCCCAAATTTGCCACTCAAATAGGGAATTAGTCTTGGTTAAGGATGTCATATCACTTAGTCTTGCCTTGTTGAAATCTGTTTTGGTAGTCAGCTTGTATATCAGACTGATTTTCTATCTTGTTATGGACATGATAAGTGATCGATTCCTTGTTATAACCATGTTGGGGTATCAGATTATCACTATGAGGTAGATGAGATCTTTGTATTACCGATGGCTAAATTTCACTTGACCCTTGTGTAGTATTGAACTTTGGATCTTATGATTATGATTTAGGAACATTACCACTGTGCTATAGATCTACAGGTCTTAAAATAAGAAAGAATTAAGAATAGTATCATATACTGTATATTAATACTAGTTGATCAATTCACAAATCATTTTCTTTTAATTCACGTTACTAATAAATAATACAATAAAGTCTTAATTATATTAACAGATATAAATTTTATTAAATTTCAAATACTATTTCTTGAAAAATCTAAACTTATATCTTATAATTTAATTTATAAATTATTAATTATTATACTATTAACCTATAGATAATAATGGGTTCCTAAAGTATTTAGCATATAAAATTTTGCAAATAACTTATGTTCCTTTTTGAAAAACAAAATTTATAGCTCTTTAATTTTTTTTTTTTTTTTAATCCGCAATTATATCACAATGGCATATCTTTATTGAAAAATTGAAAATAAATTTACAATA